GTTTGTTTTTATTTTCACTCAAACCAAACAAATATATTTGTGTCGAAACAAAAAAGTTTGAATGTGCATACATATATATGTATGTATGTAAATAAATAAATGTAAGCAATTGTGTATAAGCAACTTCTGCCCTCATGTTAAATCGAAGACTTTGGCATACATTTAAAGATATTGTACCTTAAAGGCACTGTACTTTTCCAAAGAACCATCTTGTGCTTATATTAAGTCAAGTGATGTGGCAAACAATTAGCCGAGCATACATAGGGTCAATTTGACAAATCCCCTTTCATAACACCACAAACCTCGATCCATTTTTTCCTTTATATAGTAATTACGGGAACTTAAAAAGCTTCATATTGCTTTGCTTGCAGAGGACAACGGAATTTTCGCAGCCGTTAAAGCAGCAACTCATTTTTCTTCTCTAAATTTATAAGTTTTCCCATATTTGAATAAAAAAAATTTCAAATGATAAAATTTCATTTGTTTATTTCGAACTTATTTGACATTTGAATCATTTCGAGAGAGAAAACTCAAAATGCTAGCAAACGTCAAAAAAAAAAAAAAAAACCCAATGGCGGACGAATTGAGCGAGCGGTTTTACCTTTAAATATTTGTATCATGCAATTGGGCATTAATTAGTCGCAACTAGTCTCATACGGGTACTATTTATTGGAGATCAATTAGTCCCCGACTCATCCCTTACGGGTATAATTGGAGATCAATTAGTCCCCGACTCATCTCTAACGGGTACTATTAACGATTTAATGATATGTGCGCACTTAGTAAATGAAATTTCATGTGCGGCGATGGCACACAGAGTAAAACTGAGCACCCGGTTCGAATCTCAGCTGGAGCAAATTTTTATTTTTATTTTTTAAAAGTGGATAGTCGCTTTTTATACCCATTCGGGTATAAAGGTGAACAATTAGTCTCTTCATAGGGCATGCTCGAACAAAAGCAATCAGTTCATTCCATATAAAGAGATCAAAAGTGGTAGTGGTATCGCATGCTCCTTTGCGATTACTCCCGGAGTAATGCCATTTTTTGCAGGGTTGCGATTGCTCCCGGAGTCATCCAAGATTAGTTCCATTTTTTGCAGGGTAGTTGTTTGCGAATGCATATGTGCGTGCGTGTGTGTGTGTGTGTTCGAAATTGCGTGTGCGTGCGCTTATGCGTTTGACATGATGACACGGTGTAATCCATATTTGTCAATTCGCACCCTGATGAGCAGTAAAAATATTGATTGTGTGCCATGCAGCAATAACTGCATCAATTCGGGATTCCTATGTACATATGGTATGTTGGTATGTATGTATGCACATAGCGCCTCATACAAATGTATAGATACTAATGTATGTATGTCGATGAATGTAATTCTGCCATTTCGCTGCAACAATTCTTCGCTTGCAATGGAAGCACCGGCAAATGTAATCAGTGCGCAACAAAAATTGGGCAGTGTGCCGGCATGTAGTTACAAATCGCACACGATCTTCAAAAGTGGCATAACGCAAAATTTGTCATTTTTGAAATTATGCATCAAAAATTTACACAGAGCTTTTATTTACCTTTCGGCAAAAACTGGAGCAAACTTTTGTTATAACTTGTTGGAAAAACTTTAGGTTAAGTCTTGCTTGCCCATACGATTAGCATGTGCTAAGAAATCGTTTTTCTCATTTTCTGACGAACGTGTAATTTTGAGTTGTGTCTCTTTGGAAGACGCTGAGCGATATGTTTTTCGTGTTGTGGGGGAATTGTTGCATTGACATGAGTTTATAGATTAACTCGTACATTCATCCTGCTACGTTTCTACAGCCAAATGTCAATGTTGATCCCTTAATGCAAAGCGAGTGGAGCTTGAGTGTGAGTTACTTTTTCCACCGAATTTTTTACGTTGTTGAAAATTGAATTAAATTCATTGAATGCAATCACTGTGGCCACATTTTTTAATAAAGTAATTTATTCGTTGAATTGATTCGTTTGCAAACAACGATTTGAAGTCAATTAATGTGGAGAAAGAAAGATTTTATTGCTAAAGTTTGGTATGAAAAACGAGGAAAAGGCGAATCCTTTTTAACTCATTTGAGGATTTTTTTTCCTTCCTCAACTAACATACACTGCCGGCAAAAAATATTGGCACAACAAATTTTTCACAATATTTGCAAACATTTTTTTCTAATATTTTTCCTCCAATTTCTCATATAATAATATGGTTCATTCTAAAATAAAAATAATTAAAATATGATTCCTAAACTTTGTGCAAAACTCACGAAAATTCAGCTAAATTTCATTGAAATTTTCAAATTTTTAATCAGATTTTTTTGAATTTTTTGAGTATGCAGATTTGTAGCCGAATCAATTTTATTGTAATAAAGTAAACGTTTTATGTAGCTAGGAATTATCATTGATTTTCGGCATTTTTTTCACGCAGTTTCTTCTCTACAAAAAAATCTTTTCGAAAATACTTTATTTGGAAAAAAATGCAAGACAGCTTCTACAAAAAAATCTCAAAAAGCAATGCGATTTTTGACTAACTCAGAAATTTCAGTTGTTTACTAGAATTTAATGGACTGCATACTCGAAAAAATTCTAAAAAATCTGATTGAAAAGTTGAAAATTGGCGTAAAAATTTGCTTAATTTTCGAGAGTTTTGCACAAAGTTTAGGTATTATATTTTTATGTTTTTTGTTGTTGAATGAACCATATTTTTATAAAAAAATTGGCGGAAAAATGTTAGAAAAAAATCGAATGCATATATTTTGAAAAATTTGCTGTGCCCATACTTTTTGCCGGCAGTATACGTTAATTTAAACTCCTGCCTATGGCCGACTAACATCCAAGTTTTCATTTTCCCTAAAGTTGGGTAGATTTATCTTGCACGCTATCCCAATCTAGACTTTTTAATCTATTGATCTTTAAGACCCATAGCAGCGATGTTCAAATTTTGTTTTTTTCAAATAGTCTAACCACGTAATTAGCACATTTCTACATCATACCTGTGATATCAGTCGTTGCAATTCTTCGTTTTCGGTTACCATTTTCTGATAGCGCTCCTCATCCTCTTTCGAGATAGCCGAGTCGGGATTGTACTTTGATTCGGCTTTATCCTTAGGATGTCGTATCACCTCAATGACCTTTTAGAGTAAGTAAAAAAATTACATTGCATTTGGTGCAATTGAGTGCAATCGGAAGCTATCTAAGATTTGCAGCTAAATAAATTTAGATAAAAACACGAATATATTCCACTCACCTTTGGCACAAATATCAGCAGCATACTTAGGAAACAGCAGAATATCACAGCTAATGCAACAAACGCGTATGAGGCATCCTGTTGCGATGCGATGACCATGCCCACCGGTGCTGTGATTAAACACAGCACAACAACATTGTAAATGCTCATGCCCACATAACGGGAATCGTTAATTTGTTTCACCTTAATCGAACGTGTTTCATAGGCAAGAAAGAGACCAAATACGAGTATTAGACCCTTGAAGCCGTAAACGAGGCCTAGAAGAGGTGGAGAAAAATTGAACGCTTTGCATTAGCGAGTACAGTTTCTTCAATTAATTTTGCTTACCCAGCCACATTGAATTGTGTCGACTTTCACAGTGCTCCAATTCTGGACGTATTTTAATATCATCGGATGTCAATACGGGATCTTCGAGTGGGAATGTTTCAAGTATACGCTGTAGCGGATCAAAAATCTGCCAAGCGAGTAGTATAACTAAATCTACAGACAACAGGCCGGAGACCATGGTGTAAAGTTTCCATGGTTCCACTTTTTTCTGCAAATGAAGCCGAATGTAAAAGCTTCTTTTAGTTATGGAAATAAAATTTTAAAATAATCCATTTTTAAGGTAAAAGCTGAAGCAAATGAATCGCCCAATTATGTGTGTTCACTATTAAATGTACGCTGGCGCGCAAACAAATAGTGACGTGACATTTTAACGAGTTTTAGCTATTTTTCTTTTGTTTATTTTATGTTTATTATTTTTTTTTTTTATAAGAGTACAGACCACTATCTAAAAAAAACCATGTAAATAAGTAAAATTTCAGACTTTGTACAAGATTTATAAAAATTCCGCGAATTTTGACAAATGTTCATGAAAATTTCAAAATTAAAAAATTATTGAATTTTTGTAAGCTTGCAGTAGCTAAGACTTCCATTGACTTTTGGCATATAAGAAATTGTGAAATATACTTTGTGTGGAAGAAAATGCTTTCCAATTTTAGCAGCAACAATTTTTATAAAAATCCTGATTAAAAAATTTGAAATGTTAATGTGACGTTGTCGAATTTTCCTAATTTTTTCATAAAGTCTGAAACTCGGACTTACATGGGGTTTGTTATGTGGTAAAGTGAGATATACTTTAATAAAAAATCAGCATTTAATGATGATTTTATGATTTCAAATTTTTTTGATCGACAAAATTTTTATTATTTGACTTGAATTTTTTCAATCACAAATAATGATTATTTTATGGTTTTTATTTTTTCGTTCAGAAATAATAATTGTTATTGATTTTTTTTCCACTTAAAAATTCTGATTTTATGAAAAACGCAACCAACTGAAATTTTGGCCTGAATATTTTGGGACTTATTCCATTTATAATGTAGCTACCTCTGGAAAGGATCACTCGGAAATCACGCCAGTGTAGTTTTTGAGTTGTTAAATAATCATCATTCTTAAATAAAAAATAAAATTCAATAATAATTATTATCTTTGCGCGAAAAAATAAAATTCATGTAATGATAATTGCATTGGTTAACCTCGAAAAATATATGTTGAATTTTTTAGTTAAAATTAAAAAAAAAATAATCATTATTTTCCATCTCTGAAATAAACAAATGGAAAATTGCTAGAACTTGTTAAAATGTCACCTCCCTATTTATTTACCCGCCACTGTATGTACATTAGAGTGGTCCAAAAAAATAAAGTTGGAGTTTTAATGCCGGCACACCCTAGGATTGATCTATATCGAAAAAAATATACCCCAATTATTTTATTTTGAAATCAAAAAATATTTAGGGAGTGCTCAAAGCGCTCAAAGTTTTCCATGTATTTTATATTGAGAAAAAACATCTTTTCGTAGAAATAGTGTAGAATTCTTGAAAATCAATATTCGGAAAACTTTACTTATCTTCAGAAGACTCCCAGTAATAATACTCAATTGTTTTTTTCATGGTAACTATATTTTATAGGTCCTCCAAAGCCCTTAGAAAATGCAATGGGGGGACCAATAAAAAATCTTTTATCATAAAAAAAATGGTTAA